ATAGTAAAAAAGTAACAAGGTTGGGCAAGATCATTACAGATAAACATCTTTCCCCAACATCTCTCTTTCCTTTTGTTGCTGATGAGAATCAAACTTTCTTTTTGTTTTTTTTTTTTCTTCCCCTCTCCTTAGTTTAAACAAGAAAGAGGTGTGGTGCTGTGCTAGTACAAGGCAGCGAAGCCGGGATTTCCAGTTCTGATTTTGTTTCTCCTCTCAAGTGGCCTAAGGTCACTTGACTTCTCTTGCTCATTTTCTCCATCTGTAAAATGGGGGAAATAACTAGAAACTACTTACCCACTGCTAAAGAAATTACTTAATTCATAGATGTACGGCTCTTTGAAGATACAAACAAAGTGCCAGCTATTATTACTAGATGATGATATGATATATTTTTCCCCCAAGCTTCTTAAGGGAAGAAAAAAAGCATGTAATCAGACAACCATATTTCTAATGAGATGCAATATTCAGGAAAGTAGGACATTTTAAAAACAGATTGGACAATCTTTTTCCAGCACAGAAAGATTATTCCCAATACATAAACCTCACAGGATTATAGATTCATGAAAAGAAAAATACCATTTGACTAGGTTTCTGCTGACAAAATAAGCTTGTCTAAATAAACAGGGAAAATATATACCCCCAGTCTTTAAGAAAGCAAAAAGAATTTCTCAAAGAAGCAAGGGCAAAAATAAAATTAGATTTGAAAGCTTTGTGGAGATGAATTTATATTCTCTGAATATGAAGCAACTGCCAGGACTGGAAAAGTCAATTAAATAAAAAAGACCAGATAAGGTGGAGGGGAGGGAATGCACTGTGCAAGAGAGGTCATATGCTAGATATATAGGGCAGTACACTAAACATTTATGGATAAATACAATTCCCTTTCTTTCCTTAGCCATAGATACATTAGAGAGCCACCATCAGTATTCTGCATGAACAAGCTGTTAAGTTACATTAACGTTACCCAAACTACATCGCTAAGCGTCTGAGCCAAAGTAGAAAAAACATACTGTTCTCTGCAAGCAGCAATATTCCCTCCTCAAAAGGGAGGAGGAAAAACATAAATAAATAAAATCCGAAAACTTAAATATCCTGCCTCCTTCCCCACCACCACAGACACCACTTGCCAGTTGTGTCGCGCTCCTTCCTCTTCCCTGCAAGACTGTGGTTACGTTCATTCCCAACTTGAAACCAATAGACCTGTGGTCTTACCCCTTGCTGAACCTAGCAGTGAGCCAAGTCAAAACTGACCTTCTCTGACCAGTCCGATCTCCCCTCACCTGCAGGGCAAGGGAGCCTCGGCACCACGGGTGCTCCCCAGGAGCATGGCCTTCACTGCAGGTGGTCCTTCCTCCACCAGGGACTCTGCTCCAGCCACGGGACCAGACCCTACGGGAGCAGGGAGCGAGGGGAAGAGACCACCCTGCCTCCCTCCTCCCCAACACTGGTCCAAAAGGCAGAACAGGATTTCCACGTTCAACAGCTTAATGCCATTGCAATCGCTAGTGAAAATGAAGCTCCCATATCAGGGGTTTGGACGCACTGCAGGCCTAGGGATGTGCGTGCATGCTACAAACATGCTATTTTTCTTTTAATATCACATCCAATCAGACAACATATCTGCAGTACAGGATTTTGAATGCTGGAATACAATATTCATATTTTAACAGTTCACAGAATTACTATTTTGAGCATATCTGACTTTAGCACAACTATTAAAAGCCCAAGAAAAGCTCAGTCTGGCTGGACCCTGGCAGACAAGTGTGAATAAATGCAATTACGAGAAGTATGCACAAGTGGCCTTGTATTTCTTTTCCTCCCATATTAAATGCAACACTATGAAAAAAAGACTAATTTTTGCCTTTTGCATATGGGTAACATAATAGTGTGGACTAAACACGGGGTGTTTTGCTAATGCATGTGCATGCTCTGTCTCCGTTTCAGGCATGAAGACAATCTGCTGAGTGCAGTGTTAAACTCAGAACAATCCCAAGAACTGTCAGAGCAAGGAGAAAAGGTACTTAAGTAGCTGGAATTTGTGCTCAGTACAGCACTTCTATCTGCTATGGCTTATTTTAGAAGTGTTATTTAGCTTTTCCAGATTATTCATACGCACTTCCTTAACGTGGGCCACAATGCGGACTGCCAGCATTGTGTTTAACAAGATGCTTGCTAGGGAACAGGATGGAAATCCATGGTTTTAAGCTTAGACAGAGGCAACAGGCAGCAACACTGAAACTTCAGTCAAGACGCATCTGCATGTTTTATGTGGCGAGAACAGAGCATACATATCACAGCTGAACTTGGGGCAATACAGTAAGAAATTCCACTTTCTATCTTGTTGGGGAAAGTAGATAGTAGCTGGCAATGTAGTCCGCTGCTTCTGTCAACACTGAGTCAGAAACAGAGATTTCCTGCCATCTTGTCGGAAGAGGCTTTTATTTTTTTATTTAATGGGGAAAGCAAGTAGCAGCAGGAGAAATCAGTTCCAGCTTTCTGGACAGACTGCTGAGAGAAACAGATCTAACTAAAAAAGAATGCCTCCCAACACCAGAAGTACTCTGGTATTCGAGCTACAGGCATGGAGAGAGCAGGACTGAGCACCAGCTATTACCGTCTGGGCTAGACACAGACGCACAACCCTCCCCAGAAGGGGCAGCACAAGTAACACGGGAAATAAAACAGATTTAGGCCCCTGTAATTCTGCTACCTGAGGGGAAGAAAAGGAGGTGGGGGGAGAGCACTGCAGCTGGAAACTGAGGATGCAGAGACTTCCAGCGAAGGTGAGACACGTGCATGGTGATGCCTGCAGACTGAAAATCTCCCAATACTTATCCAGCAGAAAGCAGCTGCCAGCCAACATCGGACTTCTAACCATGTTTTTACAGCCCTGACCCATCCAAACGCAGCAGGAGGGCCGGGCCAGCTGCAGTATAATCCCACCAATGCTGATAAGCAGCAGTAAAACTGAAGAAACATGACCAGGATGGGAGACAATAGGTGATAAGCACTCCTGGAGCCAGCTGGCCTCTGATTAAACACCCAGGGAATAAAAGCTGTTAGCACTGGAGTTTAGGGTTCCTGACAAATGGAGAGCAACACCCAGATCCTGCATGAGACCCAGGGCAGCCTGCAAATCCCAGAGAGAGCCAACACATGGTGATTTAGCACAGGAAGGGTCAAGATCCAAGAACAGGCACTTCAAAGGTTGCGGGGAGCAGGGGAGAAGGTGGGGAAAGGAGGGAAATAACATTTCAAATGAGAAAGCAGCCCTCATGCCCTGCACTCCTACAGTGCAGCCAGGGATGCAGTACAGTACAGAAGAGCAGCAATGACCAAAGCCAGAAAAGCCCAGAGCCCCTGGAAGAAAGACTCAGGTGAAAAAAGGAGGAGATGCTTGCTGCACTCTCCAAGGCAGAACGACTCTCCTAGCAAACTTTCAGGCACAAGGCAAGCATGCCCTTGGATCACAGGCTGTTAAAACGTTATGAAGAGCAGCGGCCACCACTGCTGGTTTCAGCTGGCTCCAAGGATGGTTAAGAGCAGATCAGGGCAGGCAGACAGCCAGCTAGCTATACACGGCGCGCAGGTGAGCAGGGACAGGATCCAGCCCATTGGCCGCACAGAGCAACGACACAAAGGCAGCAAGTCCCAGCTGAGCGGGGAGAGAGCCTTACAAAGAAGCCGTTCTAGCACCAAGATAGCTGTCAAGAGAAAGCCCAATACAATACGGGACAGAAGGTGGCAGAAGCCATAGGAAGACTTTTAGGGGCCCAGGGCAGGCTGAGGACCAGACGAACAAAGAAACGACCAGACCTATTACTTAGCCTTATGTAGAAGCGTCACAAGAAACAAAGTATGCTTACTTCTCTGGTTGGATAACACACATCTCGGAAAGAAAAACAAGCACACAAGCATACACTCTTTATCTGGTGATAAGGCAAGGAAGAGAGGTTCAGAGACGAGGGTATCTGAAGGGCTGTGAGCTAATGGTGAACGTTACAGCATAATAATAGATGTTGGTCTTGGAAAACATTTGTACAAAATATGAAACAAAGCAAAAGCCTGAGTTAAAAGGGGAGACCTAGCAACCAGCCAGGAAGTCAGCTGTGTTGTCAAGGGGGTGAAAATACCAAGGAAGCTCCAGGCACATTCCAGTTGCAGGGCACATGGCTGAAACGCAAACACAGCAACTAGCTCCCTAAATAAAGGGCCAGCTGGAATTTAGGAACCTCAAGCCTTTCGCATGATAGATTATACTGTAACATACAAAACAAAACAGGCAAGGGATAACCATTCCCAAAACAAAACTGCTAGCTCTGACATGCACTATGCTACTTGGATCACATCAGTCTAGAGCAAACACAAAATGCTACACCTTGAAGTCACCTGAATGGGCCATTTCCAAGGGCTAACACAACAAATAGTCTATTTTGTCAAATGTTCTTCCACATAAACTTGCCACAGTAATTCCAAAGTTCTGGGCAGTTTCTCTGCACATTGCTATTGAACCGATGAGTCCAATTTACTGCACATGCACAGTGCAGCTGCATCATGCAGGCACAGTAATTCCCATGGGCTTCGTACTGAAGCATTTGCACTGGTGGTTGTACCCATGCCATGCAACAGAACTGTTGCAGTGGTTAATTCAGCTTATTTCTTGAATAACCAAAATATCTGCTACTGTGCCACAGTCCATATGTTAAGTTCAAAGCAACTGGCTTTAAAACGTGGAAAGCTTTCCTGAATCTAAATAGTGTTTTGACCTGCATAAGCAATGGCTGTTGTTTAAAAGATACCAAACAAATGGATATTTATGCAAACAAAAGCAGTATGATACTCATCTACAAATCCTGCTGGAAGTTGTAAGCAGCCTAATTCTGACAAATCTGGAAATAAAAGCCTAAAGGAGCTGTTGTGTAAAGTATCAAGCAGAAAGAGAACAGGTACATAGATATTAGAGACATCAACGGTGAGGAACAATTCAGTGGATTACTCACCCGGGGAGCAGACTTAATGCTGATCTCTACTGTCACTCTTGAGCCAGTACCACTAATCCACATAAACTACTGACACTAGAAAGGGAGAAAGAGAAATAATTTAATGAATCACCACAAAGTTAGAGGTGACTTAACAGTGAGATCTTCTAAAAGTTGATTATAAAGTGACACGGGATAAGGAAGCACAATGCATGATGTACATAGCAGCATTAATAAAAAAAATCCAGTGCGAAGAGATTAAAGGATGAGAACAATGTACAAATGGGAAATGAGTTTGGTTATTCCTAATAATTCTCAGTAACATTAGCTCTCAGTATTTCTATATTACATGTTTGGTCTGTGCTTGCCGTCCACCTTCCCAAGTGAGCAGGAATAAATAAAAAACATGAATTCCATACCTAAGCAATTACACGAGCTCCCACTAAAAGAGACATAAGAATCAGTAATTTAAATACAAGTTCTCAGTGAAATATGGCTGCTAGGATTGAAACAACTTGGAACACTGCTGAAAAGCCACTGTATTAAGCTATTCTTCTAGTCATGACTCCAGTGTACCCACACCTAAGATACTGTGCTGGGATACTGAGATACTGCTCTTGGATCAAAAATGATGCCATCAGCAAGAAGGAATATTGCCAAATTGACAGAAGTTCAGGACAAGCAAGTAACATGATCAGAATGCAAAGAATCAACTTAAAAAAAATTAAGGACCCACACAAACTAACTAGTTGTCGACTTGGGGCAAAAAAGACAGACTGCAAATATTCAGCAGGTAGAAACACAGCGAAAGCAGAGGGAATTCAACTCACATAAGCGTACTGAGGAGACAGGTCCAAAAAAGATGCAATTTCAAGCCTGGATACTAATGCAGTATACTAAAGTCTCAAGGGACACAAATGATTCGGTGATCATTGCTTCTCAGAACAGTTTTTTAAATTAGATTGGACAAAAATACCAGCAAAAAAACCCAACCCCACACAGAGCACAAAGGACAGGGGCATACGAGTCTGTACAAGCAGACTCCTTCACAAGACTGGGGCTTCAGGCTATTGCAACAGAATAATTACGCACTGAACCCAGCGCAAGACAGGAAAAAACCATCTGTCAGATGGAAAAGAGGCAAAATCTCGTAGGCGAGGGGAAAAAAAGCAAAACAAAACAAAACGAAGTATTTGAGGTTTCTATAAAGGACACTGCAGAATGTCATGTACAGAACTAGGGGGAAAAAATGTTACTTAGCAGTGTTATTTTAAGAGTGCTTAAAATACTACCAAGGGCTCAAATGGAAAACCTATAATTAGAGGGAGTTTCTCCTCTTCGTCCCAAACGCTAAACTCCAGCTGAGGCACGCGAGGCTCACAAATTGGGCAGGTCTTTGGGATTCCCGCTGCCTGGGCTGGGCTGGGATTCCCACTGGCACCTGCAGGCAGCAGTCGTCAGGCAGAGGGGATGGAGACGTGAAGCGCAGCACCCAACCGCGGTATTTCGCTGCTGCACCCCACTGAGCGGGGCTGGCCAGATGGCCAGCTGCCCCCTGGCACAGCTGATCTGCTGCTCTCAACCCCAGCTTCAGAGGCAGCCCGGTCCCAAGTTCTTCGTCATCTTCTCCACCACAGAAAGGATCTCTAGCACAGGAAAGTCTCAGCAACTTTTCAGAAGGAAGCTCTGTCCCAGTTCTGCCCAGTCCATCTCCCTTCATTAACTCATTCTTTAAAGGAGGTAAAGTTAAACTCCCTGTGAGTTCAGGACTTGGATTAATTTGTTCTTCCCGCAGGGGAGTGTCTGCAGTATTCATTTATAGGCACCAACAGCTACTCCTGAGTTTCTTTACCATGACTGTTTTGGTAAATCAAAGATGTTCTTTGTTACTGTGGTTTGACAGAAAGTTTTAGTCATTTCCTCTTCAGCAGACTCAGAGTTACACATCCAAAGCCCACACCTCTAGCAAACAGTATGGTCACTCACTACCCAATGAAAAAGGGAAAAATTGCATGCATTTCTCAAAAGTGAACTAAGTGAACTAACTAAAAATGAACTAACTTCTTATACTACCTTGTGAGCTGTTACCAGAAGATTCAAGGAGACATTTCACACAGCTTGTTTCGAAGGCTGCTAGGGGAGTCGCCCACATAATCTTTTTCTTCCTTTCTCAAACTCGGTTTAAATTTTTACTAATGAACCTGCCTAGAAATCTCAGATTCCCTCTAATCCTACAGCTAAGGAAACCTTTCTTACACCCTTTCTACTTTTGCAAGACTGTTTTCAAAATTAAGCATCCAAATTCAGCACTTTGAACGCTATTCCTATAGGGCTGGCTACGATGTTCCCCTCTGCATTTCTCCTGACTGAACAGGGCACAGACACAGCGAGCCAGGAGGTTTTACCTTCTGACTTGCATTACCGCCCCGGGAAGGCTGACAGGCTCCCAAGCGAGTCTGTAGCTCAGGGACACCGGATGAAGATGAGGACTTGTTGCACTTCTGCGAAAGAGTGGAGTTTTTCTAGTTTAGCTAGAAGGCTAAATTATCATCCAAGAACGGCAAACAAGGGAAGAGCTGCTCTTGTGTCACACGCAATGAGCATGCCATCCCTGCACGAAAGACCGATCAGAGGGCACGCAGGTGAACATCAGGGCGATAGGAGACCTCTCGCCTCAATCATAAGTGCAACGCTCCCCACACATGCTGAATTCAATGCAAGTTCAGTTTCAGTATCAGAAAACAACCTCCCAGAAAAGCCACGCTCATAACCAAATGCCAATTTTTAGGACTGATCATTTAAGAAATGCAGGACTATGCAAGACAACAAGATAAAAGTTAAACGAGTTCTTTCTTTCCTGTAGGGAATAACGCAAAATATAGTTGTGCTGGAAGAACCCTTCCAATATCCCCAGGAAGAAACAGTACTGCAAGGCAAACAAAAATACAGAGAAAACAGGAGAGAGGTGCAAGACATGACATCACCTGTCCTTTTCAGATGTAATCTCCTAACCAGGAAGAAAACACAAGTCCTAACTCTGCAGTCTCGTATGCCTTAGCTCAGCAATACTACTTTACCTCGCCAAAAGTTGTGGACAATAGTCACCCATTTCTTTTTCAAATTAAGGAAGCACAACTGCATACAATTACACGCTGTACGAATTTAAAAAGGACACAATCCCATGCCTAAAGATCTGAGAGTCACATGTTGCCTGTATTTAGGGCTGCAGCTTAACAGTAAAGCAGCAGCTCCATTTCTTTTCTTTGTACCTGCTAAAAACTTTGTTTCAGAAACATCTTTTGGAAGAAGACAAATGAAAAGTGCTGCAACCAAATAATGTGGTTTACGTCTGTTCTTTACTAGATAAAAGCAAAGATCAGCTTTGCCTAATCCCTTCTGGTCAAGAAAAGGACTGAGTTACAAGATCTGAAAGATTTCCCCTCCTTTCTACTAAAAACATCTGTATAACATGTGACTCGAGGTCACAGCACAATTCAAATGACTGCTCCTTCCCACACACTTGCTTGATGTCTGCATGTCTGTGTTTAAATTAAAAAGCTACTACGATTCTCTTCCTACGTTCCTGGAGAAAACAGGGCAACACAATCCACAGGCAATAGAACTTATTTTTAAAAAAAACAAACTTGTATTCCAGCAGCTCCCACTGCCCAAAGCACTTCATTAGCTCAGGGTCCTACACACAGAGTAGGAAAGTAGCTGAATTAACTGCAAGGGCCAATTCTGCTCAAGATTACAAGACCTTGTGTTTGCTGGCCACTTGGGTGACTTGCACCTCGGTCAGACTGATGGCCTGGGTACGTTATCCAGCCACTTCAGCACCCAGACCTTGCACAAAAACGAGGACATGAGCAGAGCGGACATTCCTCTTGCACCTTGCACCTCTTCTGGGAAGCCTGCGTGCTCGACTGGCTCTCTGAAATGCCTGTATACCAATGCACGCAGCATGGGGAATAAGCAGGAAGAGTTAGAGATCTGTGTGCGGTCGCAGGGCCATGATCTCATTGCAGTGACAGAGACATGGTGGGATAGTTCACATGACTGGGATGCTGTCATGGATGGCTATGTGCTTTTTAGGAAAGACAGGCCAGGAAGGAAAGACAGGCCAGGAAGGCGGGGAATAAGCAGGAAGAGTTAGAGATCTGTGTGCGGTCGCAGGGCCATGATCTCATTGCAGTGACAGAGACATGGTGGGATAGTTCACATGACTGGGATGCTGTCATGGATGGCTATGTGCTTTTTAGGAAAGACAGGCCAGGAAGGAAAGACAGGCCAGGAAGTCTTTATGTGAGGGAGCAACTAGAATGTATGGAGCTCTGCCTCGGGGTGGATGAAGAGCAAGTTGAGAGCCTATGGGTAAGGATTAAAGGGCAGGGTAACATGGGTGACACTGTTGTGGGGGTCTACTACAGGCCACCTGACCAGGAGGAAGTCATCGATGAGGCCTTCTACAGACAGCTGGAAGAAGCCTCACGATCACAGGCCCTGGTTCTCATGGGAGACTTCAACCACCCTGACATCTGTTGGGAAGACAGCACAGCTAGGCACAAACAGTCAAAGAGGTTCCTGCAGAGCATTGATGATAATTTCTTGACCCAGGTGGTGGAGACGCCAACGAGGAGAGGTGCAATGCTAGACCTTGTACTAACGAACAAAGAAGGTCTAGTTGGAGAGGTGAAGGTTGGGGGCAGCCTTGGCTGCAGTGACCATGAGATGGTGGAGTTCAGGATCCTGCGAGGAGGGAGCAGGGCAATGAGTAGGATTGCAACGCTGGACTTCAGGAGAGCTGACTTTGGCCTCTTCGGGGACCTACTTAGGGGAATCTCCTGGGGTAGGGCCCTAGAAGGAAGAGGGGTCCAAGAGAGCTGGTTAATATTCAAGCGTCACTTCCTCCAGGCTCAGGATCAGTGCATCCCTCTGAGGAAGAAGTTCAGCAAAGCGGGCAGGAGACCTGCATGGATGAGCAAGGAACTCCTGGCCAAACTCCAGCAGAAGAAGGAAGTGTACAGAATGTGGAAAAGGGGACAGGCCACTTGGGAGGAATACAGGGACGTTGTCAGAGCGTGCAGGGATGCGAC